AACTTATCTTAGCAGGCTCAGATCTCTGACTCAGTTTAAACAGATTGCAGTATTATTATTAACTAATTCAGTATAATACTAATCTACTTTTAATATAAGTTATATACTCAGAGCAATTCTCATCAGAGAGTCTGAAAAGAAATGATTTCATCTTCAATGAAGATTTCTGAGATTTACAAGAATTTTTCAGATTTTTTAACTTTGACTTTCTATTACTATATATTCACATATCTTTGAGATTTGAAAATTACCTTAGCTTATAGTTAAAGAGAAGAAGAATAGAAATATTTCTTTAATATTTTAAAAAAATCTATATTTAAGATAGATGTATACTCTTAAAAATAATTATATTTTTTAGTCTCAGAAATTCTAAGAGCTTTTTTTTATATAAGAAATTGAATTAAAATTCCTGTATTCAAAAATACACTAGTTAACTTTAAGATGATACTTCTATTCTAAGAACTTAAGATATAAATATAAAAATCAGATACATTGTAAGAACATTATTATTCTAAGATTTCAAGATAATACAGAAATGATGAATCTATGAAGTTGAGTTGAAATTCTCTTTCATACTCAGAGTACTGAGTAAATTCTTTCTGTATTATTAATAATCAGAAACTATTTCTTCTCAGATACTTTGTAAGATATTATCACTCACATGACCTGATTTTACTATTTGGGTTAGCTTATTGCTTATTTGAGATTAGCTCATGACATAATCATCAATCCAGTGTTAAAACAGCAATGGATATCTGAAGAAGCGTCTGAGCTTGCTGAGATAAGTGGAAACGAGCGTTAGGTGGTTGATTACGTTACATACTACGTATAACTCTTCCGTCCGGAGTAGTTACCAACTAAATAGCGAGTCGGCAACCCTTCGGCGCTGCAACCAGGCCCCGCTGCCAAGAGCGGGGTGGCCCACGCGGAGTGGGTGTCGCAAATCGGCGCAGGACTTGGCACCTGGGCAGGACCACTCGGACCCCTTGATTCCAGTTGCAGCTGAATGAACGGCGCGGGGGCACACGGGGGATGGAGGGGTGATTGTTGGGGGTTTGAAACCTAGTCTGAGGGTGCGAATAATAGGAGACTATAACAATAGACAGTTGAGACACAGCCCATCCCCGAGGCGGTGGGCGAAGGGGCCAGCACCGACTCGGGGAATTTTCATCACTTGGGCCCAAAGCTCAGTGGGTACATGTCCCTTGTACGGAGTACTCGGTACTATGGACAGATTGGCAGGTGAAGCCTTGAACCCATGGCAGGCGTACCTTGGCCAGAAGATGGATGTCATTTTTCCATTCTTCCGCTGTCCGCGCTTGCTCATTATTCGTGATTCTCGTCGCCAAGTTTTTCCACCCCTTTAGTATTTACAGTGTACAGACTCAAACTGCTCTCACCAATATCAGAGGATCCACCCCCTTCTGCTGTTGAGAATCGTCGTTCGTCTTGCCCGCCACTTCACATTATTCTTCATCCCCCCCCTCCCTCTTCCACTGCCTCTTGTCTGCAGCCCTCGAGAAAAAATTGTCGGTTTGCTCTTCCTCACTTGTGCCTTCATGAGACCCCAAAAGACTCTCCTTGTATCGCGTCCTCTTCCCTCTACACCAGGCTCATCATGGCTTTGGTCCAATACCTTAAGAGGGTTGTCGCCTGGATCGCTCCTCCACCAACAAAATCCGCGGATGGTCGCGATCAATGGCCCTCACGCGCGGCTTTTCTTCTCGCTGCCATGGGGGGTTGCGCTGGTCAAGGGAACCTGCTGCGGTATCCTTCCGTGGTTTACAACAACTACGGAGTTCAGTGGTTCATTCCCTACCTGATCGCCGTTATTGTCATCGCTATCCCCGCCCTCATTCTTGAAATATCTATTGGCCAGGCCTACCGTGGTGGAAGTGTCATCGCTTTCAACAATGTTCACAGGCGACTGAAAGGCGTAGGCTTGGGTCCCATCATTGTCAGTTTCTTGGTCACCCAATATTTCACAGTCAACCTAGCGTGGATTATGAACTATTTCCGCAACTCCTTCGTTAGCCCCTTGCCTTGGGAGGGCAAAATTGAAGGGTTCTACCATCGGGATGTGGTCCAGAATATAGATCCAATCCCTGGCAGTCTAACGGTTGGAAATCGCGCGGTTGCTACCTATACCCAGTATCCCGGGGTTCGTCTCATTGGCGAAACTGTTGGTTGGAGTGTTTTTATCTGGTTCCTGGTTTGGTTGTCAATCTTCCGTGGTGTGGGCCTGACCGGCCGGGTTGTCTACTGGACAATGGGACTGCCGATTGTCACCACGATTATTCTAGTGGGCCGCTCCTGTTCCCTTGAGAATGCCGTTGAAGGTGTCAAACTCCTTTGGGCTACATGGAGGGGGGCCCAGCTAGCAACACCAAAAGTCTGGCAAATAGCCGTGGGGCAAGTCTTCTTTTCTACTGGCATCGGATTCGGGTACTTTACATCTTACGCCTCCTATAACGCAAAGTATTCAAACGCTGTGATGGATGCCGTCCTTATCTGCGGGAGCAATGTGCTTTTCGAGAACGTCGCGGCCTTCGCCATCTTCGGTGTTGTCGGTTACCTACGCCGTTGGCCGGATTCGAACGAGCAATTGGGCGCCTTTGTTGTGGGGTTCCTCACTCTCCCTGAAGCGGTACTTCACATGCCAGGTGCCAATTTCTGGGCGGTTCTCTTGTTTTTCACACTTGTCGTCCTGGGCTTTAGTTCAGCCTTCGTGATGCTGGATGCTTGCGCGACGCTCGCGGTTGACGCCGGAATAAAATATTCCCGCCCTGTCGTTGTTACGTTTCTCACCATACTATCATTCCTCATGTGTCTACCCTATTGTACAGAGTTTGGCTTCTATCTCCTCGATGGAATAGACAGGTGGATCAACAATGTGGTCTTGCTTTTTGTCGTTTGGTCTGAGCTGGTCAGTGCCACAGTTGTATACCGCTGGACTGATGTCACCTCCCAAACTGGACTGCCCGCCTTCGTGACTTACAACATCGGATATTTCGGCGGGCAGATTGTTGGCATCAGCGTTGCACATGCTCTTGAGAATCCAACTGCTGGTGCAATCGCTGGCTTTGGCCTATACATCTCCTCCTCGATTCTCTCGGTTCTTCTCGCCAAGACGCCCGACATAAAAGCGCCCAGGTTTTGGCACAATAATATTTTCCTTGTGCGATTCTGGTATCTTGCTTTCTACTCTGTAAGCTGAAAATTCCATCATAGTGTCGCCGTTTTACATGCGTCAACAGAAAGATCTGACGCTTTCTTATCAGGGAAATCAACTCCGTCATGACCTTAACCTCGTTGTCAGCAGCCGCAAGGGCAATTGGCGAATCCCACGTTTCTGGCCCTTGTTGCTTCGATATATTAGCGCTCCTATCCTCGCGATAATCTTTAGCTTCGCTTATCCGCAATTCCACACGCTACGGTACGACCCACTGATGATTGCAGGCTTTATTTTGGCCCATATATGTCTCCTTGCAATACTATTAGGCTTCGTGATGCCAAGGTATTATGATATTTTTATCCCACCGCTTCGCAGAGCTGAAGGAACAGAGGAAACAGTTGCGAATGAGCCAAAGGTCAGGGATGATGATGTCATTGATCTACCAGCTATTGTCAGTGATCTTGTCGAGGATGGCTTTGGGAAATTAACCGAATCTAGCAAATAACCTCAGTCTCCGATGGCATGAAATTACAGTAACCCACGGAATACCTTACCGCGATTTCTAATTCTTCGGCTTTCTGACATTCTGAATCGCTTTTGCTGCTCTTGCTCTCAACCGTGGCTTTTTTCACTTCTTTTGCTGCTTCACTTTCTCTCGTTTCTTTTCGCCCTTTATAAAATCTAAGAACTTTTTCATCTATATACCACCATCACACCTACTGGCCTGAAATGGAAATCCGTTATCCATCTACTTAGTGGCTCTGGCTAAATCCGACTTGGAAGTACATGTACATGCGAAGCTTAATTTCCACCCAGCACACTGACCTAAGCTCACAGGTCCTGTGAGAGCTCATTGACGCAATTTCTTTAAAAAAGGGGGGACTATTTGCAAGGAGCAGTAACGCTTCCCCTCAATAGGTAGACGTTCTGAGTATTCTGCCTTTCGTTTAGATCAATAGCGTGTTGTTTTGGCTCACAAAAGCTTACCTACATCCACCCACGCATGTTGCCGATTTTGGGAGGATGAGAGACATGCTCTCCGTACCACAAACTGCCCACGATCGTATATCTTATTGGAGTCAGCGGTTTCATGTTGACGTTCTCACAGATGCTTAATTTTCAAAATGTCGTTTCAGAGGCTCTAGAAACGCTCGCGCCACCACTCACTCAGGCAGACAGTTAGATGCGATCTTTTTGCTAAGGAATTTGTTTTTCTCCGTTATGTTAGTTCGTTTCAGCCATGCACGAGGAATGTCGGTTCTTGAACTATATGCGCCTGTTGTCAACGCGGTCACCATACTCAGCGCGTGGCTCATGAGATAATCTGTCACTCTTCATTAAATCCACAGTACATGTGCAATGATGACTCTCATGTTCCAACACTCTATAACGTTAGCAGGAGAAACATTTGAAGAAGGGTGAGACGGAATGATATAAGAGGGAAATCATATAGTTATGACGGAAGATGACCTCAGACATGGCATAGTGTCCAACCATGAAACGAAGCTGGTCTCGCTCCTTCCAGCTAAAGATCCCTCATCTTTTCTAGGATACCAGTCAAAAAAACTTATTTTCCATATCAATTCACTTTTTGCCCTTGTCTTTTCTATAATAACCAAGACGGTGTTGAATATTTACACCTTTATATTTGCTATTGGCACACTCTTTGTCATAACCCAACGCGAATAATAATGGTGCAAGTACGTGGCGAAAAAATTTCGAGCGTTCAAGGGTCCCCAAAACTGAGGCAAATGCATGGGCAGCGAGTGCGTCCTCACGTTCCGTCTCATATAGGCAGGCAGTGGTTTTCGGCACCCTATACGAGATGCTCGGTGCCATCTGCTCGCTTTCACCTGTGCCCTTGCAGCCGCTTCTTCTTGGGTTATATGGTGCACACAGCACTCTGCTCATGTTTCCTCTTATCTGCTCCATCATCTCTGCTGTTGCTGGTGTTGTGGTCGCGACTGTCGGAGCGTCCGCTGTAAAGTGGTGCTGGAATAATGATACAGGCCTGGGCGCAATTTTCGCCAGTCTGGGAATCACGCCTGCCATTGCTGCTGGCTTTGCGGCGACCATCTTTATGTTCATCAGACTTGTTATTCATATCCGCAAAAACCCAGTACCATCGGCGGTCTACAGTTCACCGTTTTCCTTCCTTATTGCGGGGACCGTTTGTACCCTCCCTCTCTATCATCTACAAAGGGTTGTCAAATTTAGGTCTAAATAAGAAACGCCGAATGGTTTATTGCCGGAACTGAGCTGGACTCACCATTCTATCCGCAATATTTTTTGTTCCTTTTGTTCACGGAAAGGATATCAGGAGGGAGCACGGTATCAAATGGTGGATGTTTATTCTAGGGCCAACACCCTTGAATCGTCGAAGCCTTGCTACTGCGGACATGGCCAATGTTCCCAACTACCCGTCATTCAGGTGGATCCAGAGACACTGTCCTTCCTACCTCCTTGCTTACTTGAGTGTGATCCTTACACCACTGATGGTACCACAGCTCCCATCGAAGACAAAGCCCTAGCATCTAGCGAATCAGCACAACTCAGATACAAGGAGCTTATTGCTGATGGAGAAGACAAACTGCGTGCAAAAGCTCTTAACTAAGAGAGGTCCTTTAGCCGGGGAGATGCGAACAATCCTTGAGAATTCCCTAGGATCAGGATATATGAGGTTACCAATATCAAGGTCATGGCGGAGCTAATTCCTACCATAATTGTTTGTGGAACGCTCTATCGTAACTATCCACCACGATATTCACGCCGCTCAGACTGGTATTTTTCTGGTACACCCGAAGGCAAACGGATGAAGCGGGCCTATTCCCGCGCAAAAAAGTACCCTAACGAAGTGGAACATACCTACTACTTTGTTTAGGCCCTTACTGCTTGCACTGCATCCTTCGCACACGGAGCAAACGACATTGGAAACTCGGTTGGGCCCTGGGCCGTGATTTACTCTGCTTGGTCTACCGGGAATGCTGCTGCTTCCAAGGCTGCTATCCCTATATGGAAACTTGCAGTTTTGTCGTCATCCATTTCACTCGACCTCATTACCTATGGCTACAATCCCAGAAGGGTAACTAAGCAGAATTGATATATATTCTCTCACTGTTCCTCTAGCTAACATTTTCATGATTTACAACGTGATCAGTAACAAGATTGCGTATCAGAGGTATGTTTCCCCGCTTCTTAGATGTGCCATTGCATCTGTTAACTATCCTTGTTCCATTGTAGGCTGCTCTATGGAAAGGGATACGCCCTTACTGTTCCTGTCTTCTCACAGTTCTCACTTCCTGCATCTACGTCCGTGTATCACCGGTGTAACGGTGTTCTCAAGGCGGTCAACTGGCAACAAGCCGGTCTACTCCTTCTCTCCTGGATTGTCACCATCCCCATCGCAAGCATTTTAGGCGATGTCCTCATGGACTTAGTTCTAGATGCCCCGCACTTCCTTCAGGGCATTCGGTGAAAATTGATGTTCACCCAGGTTAAGCTACTTATCACCTCCAGTCCTCAGTCCCTGTCGCATATCTGATCGGGAAGGAGAAGGGGGAGGGGGAGAGGGGCCGACATGCATGCACATGATGCCCCAAATAAAAGCTTCAAGTAGTATTCCCAGGGATCTCTTTTGTGATCGATAATATATATATATATATATATATGTGTGTGTGTGTGTCTGTGTGTGCATATCACATTCATATCTAGACAACAGCTGAGTGTCACACCCTAAAATACATGAGTACATTCAGATGCATGTGGTAGGAACAGAATAAATAGTCCATGCCTGCCGCCTTTTTATGCCAACACACAACTCAAGAGGCTTTCTCAAAAAACCATCTCTTGTTTCCAATGGACCCTCTTGTTGAAGCTCAAAGTCGAAGTTCTTGAAAACTGTAGCAGCCATACACTGCAGCTCCATTTCCGCCACATTTCGCCCAACACAAGCCCGTGGTCCCGTGTTGAAAGGGATGAGTGCAGCTTTTTGTTCGCTGGTCAGACGAGCGGGATCCCATCGTGTTGGGACAAATTCCTCTGCGTCAGGTCCCCATATCCTTGTTGAGGGGTGGATTGTGTAGGAGGGAACGGAAAGGACGGTACCCGGGCGAAAGACACGGTCGTGAATCCTGATAGGCGATGCCCCTTCTGGGATCAGTCGAGGAAGGCCAAGAGAAGAAGTGCTGTGTATCTCCGAGATGACCCATGACAGGCTAATACTATCCATTAGTCCACTCTTGAACAGTGCTAAATATGGCTTGTAGAAAACGGAGCACGTACTATTGGATATCCTTCACCATTGAATATGGCGGGACCTTTACATCGCTCGGAATGACATTGTCAAGAATCTGTTGGAGCTTCTCCTTAAACCTAGGGGTCCTTAGAACCCAGTAAAGAATTGCACAAGCTGTGTTGGAGGTAGTGTCGGACCCCGCGATTAGCTGTGTCAATGCCTCTGCGGTGAGTTCTTCTCGTCCAAGTTTAGCGCCAGCCTCGTCACGTCCTTCCATTAGGCGTGCAAGCAGGTCCTCGCGTGTATTATTTGCGATGGCTTCGGGACGAAGGCGCTCAGACACACGGGCAACGGCAATACCTGCAAGTTCTTCTACAGCCTCAAGGCCATCGAGGAAAAATCTATCCGGAAGGAATTTGGCCCAAGGCTTGAGTGTCGGAAAGACCCCTAGCGTTGCTGAAACCTCTCCCGAGTCGATGAAGAACCTGGATCGCCGGCGCATACGTTGGAGGGTCATCGGGAGACTTTCGAACTTCGGCAACATACCGACCCTTCTCTAGCATACCAAAAGGGGAGCCGAATGCCAAGTCGCCGATGATGTCAAATGCGACGTAGTTAAACCAGTGTAGAGCATCGATTGAAGCATATCCAGTCTTTGGGTTCCGCTGCATGTCAGAGATACGATTCCATTGCCGAACAAACTCTTTAAGGTTCGCATGAATGTATTGTTCAAATTTCCCGATAGACTTGGCACTAAATGTATGTGCAACTGTCTTGCGCTTCCGAGCGTGCTCTGCGCGATCGCGTGTGTTAAAAGAGGCCACGGCGGATAGATACGAATGCGTCATAATACTCACTGGCCCCCAGAGTGGTTAGCAATTGCATCCACTGCGTGATTCCACTCACAAACAAGCCCTAGAATTGGGTGGACTCCAGTACACGTCATGATCCTCAAAAGAATCTAACTAATCAAAGGACTCACGATTTCAGAAACCCATTCCCGTGCCCATAAATAATTGGTATAGCATCTGGATCGTCTACCGAGACATGATGTGGCTGTAACCTCACAAAAGTGCCATACTTCTTATGAGCACTGTCCACGGATCTATATCGTCTTCCTCGCCGGCATTGATACATAAGCCATAGATTTGAGAATGACGCTCCAAAGGGGGCAGGGACATCATGGAGATACCATCGCTGCAGATACGGGACCAGATAATATAAAGCCAGAAAGTAGAGTAAAGTATAAGGACTTAAAAGGAAAGAGAGAATCATCTTCAGTTTGACAAAGAATACGAGAATAGCGGGCCCTAATAATTGAAGTTAAGTTATAACTCAAGGATACATGAGCAAAGAGGGTGTTTGATATAGCTCGAATGAGTCTATTCCAAATCGTTAGACATCTGTTGACCAGCTAAGGAGAGCGGCGGGCTTTAATACCAGCAAGCCGTATGTTGGCCGAGGGAGGAGATTACACGCAGCTCGTCAATGAGTCAGCGTCAAAAAGTAAAAATTGGCGACTGTGGTCGGACAGCTCTTGCCAGGAGCGAAAGTCGGCAAAACTAGCATGCGAAGCCTGGAAACCCTGAACATAGCGGTTCTCCTCAGTCGCCTTTTATTTGCTGATAACAGCACCGAGCTTCATTTCCCCGCGACTTTTTGGCAGGTCGACGGACTGGCACGTGATTTGGCGCGATTTTTGGCCACACCAGTCGGGCGAGTTTAAGACACAAAATATCGTCGTTAAAATTTACTATACAATTGGTGAAGGCACGCATCTCAACACCATTGGCTGCCTGCTTTTTCAGGAATCTTCCAAGAATCGACACCAATTACCGATACGGTACAGGTATGTATGTATGTACATGTATGTGCATGTACATTACATATCGCCTTCGGGTTCCATGAGCTTACCATCGAGTTGCCTCATTATCCACCTTAAACAACCCGTTCTTCCTTTTCTCAGCCTCCCACTTTTCCACCCATAGCTTCATTTTTTCTCGGCTCCTTTTGCTCCCGACATTAACTGTGGGAATGACTTTTGCGATCCGCAGAGCACAGCAAAACATTGTCAATTCCCTAAAAGAGCTATGTTCACTGTACGGAACTGAGTAGCAGGTGCTTTGGCGGTTGCTTCCACGTTGAGGAATGAGGTCTTTAGTGCCAAATCGAGGCTTCCAGGAATCAGAGTATAAGACCGAAGATACCGGGGGACTGTCTGTCATCCTTCCTGCGGGTGGCCGATAGTTCCAACCGGTGGGACGGAATCCAACAACTCGAGAAAAGTGTGGTTTGAGAGAATTGAGATAGTCGAGAAGTGTTTCCGCGCGTACTTCCATAAGGGTCTGCATATGGACTTGGGCTTCTATAGGGTTGTTCGTAAGAAGTCTGGAAAGTTCGGCATCTTCTAAGCACGCGCATATCCGTTGTTTTGCCGCCGGGGCATATATTTTGCAATTCAAGGCCCGTGCAATTGCCATACATAGCCGCTCCTTGCCGATGCTGTAAGTTCCAATTACAACAAGTAAACGACCTCGAGACTTCGAGTTTGCGTCCCGTAACCGAGTCGGTGCTTGTGGGGCGTTGAACCCGAGATCCATCACGGTTTTCACGGTAGTCGTTGTTGGGCCGCGTGTTGTATCATCCGAGTCACCATGTTGGGTGGGATCTAAGTCTGCACACACTGCTGCACATGCTGCGACAACATCGTCCTGGTTGGGGAACGCATATTTGGGACTCAGATATGTTGTATCAAGGTAGCAGACATCGATTAATTGTTGCTTGACTTTCCCAGTCAACGAATCGACAACGTCTGGGCGCAGAAGCGGATGCTGAACATGGGCCGGACATGCCCTGAAATCGCCGCAATGAAGTATGCGATGAACCCTTGGTTTCGGACCCGTGTTAACTTGCTTTTCAAATAAAAATATAGAGCTTCCGGGGCAGTGGTTCGCAGGCAACATGGTGACCCAGGCACCATTTGTCTGTGGGATTTCAAATGTCTTGTCGAAATCGATGTCTGTAATCCACTTTGGGTCTACCTTGAGCTGCTGCCGCACTAAATTGCCCGTGACTGTGCTGCAATAAATTTGACCATGACACCAAGAAGACGTAAGGCCAATATAATGGTCGCTGTGAAAATGACTCAGGAAATATGCACGGCAACCCTCGACAGCACCGTATCTAAAGGCATCAACGCAAATGGAAAATCCAGGGAGGATTTTGTAAAACGGGCATGTGCGTTCAAAAGCCTGTTTACCTCTTGATGCCTCTTCTTTGGCAGCTGCCGCTGCCCATGCAGCATCTTCGGCGTTACCAGACATTATTTTGGAGAAAGCGGAAGATTCTTTCCCTTTCGACTCTACCGTGAAAGGGTTTCTCTGTCCCGGTCGAGGAATAACTGCTTTGTTCGTTCTCGCCATGGAGATATCTGACTTCGATTCGATAGTAGGTGTTCGTATCTCACTAGGTATCGTTGTTAGGTTCCCGTCTAGACAGCTATTCACATGGAGAGACACATCCTAGATATTTTAATTAGCGTTGAAGGTGTAAAATTAGCGAATCACGTACATCATCAGCAATACCAATAAGCCTCTCGCTGCAGATCGGGCAGACTACAGTTTCTTTATCATCAAATAGCCCAGGAGCTTCTAGATCCGTCTTTTCTATCGACGTGGTCATACCTAAGCCCAGCAGTTGTTCATCATACTTTTTCAAAGGTCGTTCATGTAGACCTTCCACCTCTCGCAGTTCACTAGTGTCACTACCTTTATAGTTAGGTAAAAAGTCGCTAGCGGTAGCAAAATCGACTCCTATCATCGTAGAGTTAGGATCACATTCATCATTTGATGAATCTTTTGCTGCGTTGCCATCGTACTCAATTTCCCTCACTAGAGTCTTTGTTCTGGATACTGCACAAACATTTTTTTTGTTGTATTCACAAATATATTCCTGCTCACTATCTGACTCATCCAAGAATGGACCGATGCGAGGAGTTCTGGATGCTGAAGTCGCGGATGAGCCTCCTGCGTCGTTATGAACAGCAGTGGTCCCGGCGTGATCCGTATTGCCCACCCTTTGTCTTTTTTGGCCAGTATTGTAATTTTCATTGTATCTATCCCCATCATCAAAGATTCTGGCTGTCTCCCAAAATCCCCTGGAAGGTGGTGAGGCCAACCTTGGGCTGTCCGAGCCTGGAAGATGTTCGATGTGGTGGCCGAGAATGTTCCCTTGCCCAACCTCTTCTCCAAAGAACAAACTCTCAGAGCCACCTATATCGGTTGCAGATGTAGATTTCTCTTCATTATTGTTTGATCTGACTATGTAGTTTGTTATGCGATTCTGTGACGCTTTTGGGTGAGTGTCTGATTTTTTGAAGAAATTTAGAATGGACGTGTTCCGTTTATCGCCGTTTCGCTTGGAGAATTGCTGTGTAGATTTCGAGGTTAGACGGCCACGATTCCCGTTAGCATTGAAATATGGAGAATTGGAAGTCATTGCTGGTATTTTGAGATGTTAGCCAGTGAGGCGCCAGGCGGTCGGTAACAACTCGCCGGGCTATTAATGGTTCTCGGAGAACGGAAGCGAGCGTAACTAGTTCAAGCGATGAAACGACAATATGAAGATGATAGCTATTTTCTCTTAGTCGAGCATCTGCATCGCCGTAAGGAGGTTTGCCTAGGTCGATAAATTCCTCGAAACCTATTTAGCGTTGGCGTGACGCGAAGACACGTGACCGCGAGATGGTAACCTTATTGCCGCCTCGATAGAGTAAGTAGGTAGGTACGGAGTACATACATTACATATATCTATGGGTTACCTAGGTAGAGATTTACAGGCTGGACCTGCGGTTCTATCTGCATGTAAAATACATTCTACTGCTACCTATGTGCCACACTACAGAGTTAGATCGGCTGGAAGTTGTTGCGAAAGAAAGACGCTCAAAAACGCATCAGATATTTTTGGATATCATATCTTTATTATTGTGCTTTGCAAATGGTTACAATGCTACTACATATAAATAGAGAAATGAGATTCGTAGGGAATTCCCGGCCCAAATTTAACCCAGTAGGGTCAGCGATGGTTCAAACGCGCAGCTCTGCCTGGTTGAATATCCTTTTGAGAGTATATCTATCATCTTGCACACTTTTAATCCTCAGTGCGTACATGGATCCGGAATGGGCACCCACGCCTTTCTCACACCGGGGGACTCCCAGAGCCAATTTCTTCCCATTCATAATATCGTTTCACCGCAACATAATATGTATTTAAAAATCACCGAGCTTTGTTTGCTTGATTCGCAGCTTCTAAAAAGAGGATAGATGTTAGCCGTAGGTTTTTCTCTCCTGGTACATCCTAAAGCCAGGATGATCCCAGCCATGGTATGTAAAGTTCCACGAAGTAAAAGGAAATCGTACCTCTCCTTGTTGCATCCTCCAACAATCCCCGGTCTACCTCCGCCTGCGGCAAGACAATATATCGGACCACGCTGCCTCTAACGAAAATATTCTTCACGCTAGAGAGATGCGGGTATTGATCCAGGTCAAGAACCTCAATGTCGTCCAGCTTGATATTGAGGTATTGGTCAACGCTTTTGAGAGTACCACGTATACGGATATCATTCTTGAGCTCAATTGTGACTGTGTGGTTTGTAAGTGTCTTGAAGAAACTATTCGCAAAGAAGTGGTGAGCAAAAAATGGTTAGCGGAGGAGCTGCGGGATCGGTTTGGCAGAGAGAGCTTCCAAACCTGAAGAAGAGCATCGTTGCAACCTTAGGCGGGGAAAAATGGAAATCACAGGCCTTTAAAAAGCCAGGAAAATAGTAACGGGCGGGCTAAAGCATTTATTGTATTCAAACCAAGAGAATCAGGAGGTCGCGCACAGGTGGGTGGCATGCGTCGAGCACTCACTCTCGCGGCAGCCAGGATGAAATCATCTGGGTCACGTGAAAACATGCTTTGTTGGAGCTACTACCATACGGGAAGAACGTAGGGTTAATTTACGGTGATTAAATACACCGTGGATTTATCTCAGCAAGCTCAGACGCTTCTCCAGAAATCCATTGCTGTTTTAACACTGGATTGATGATTATGTCATGAGCTAACCTCAAATAAGCAATCAGCTAACCCAAATAGTAAAACCAGATCATGTGAGTGATGATATCTTACAAAGTGTCTGAGAAGAAACTGTTGGCCCTTACGGCCGTTGCGGTTAGCGATCCCACTAGATCACGTGACCCACCACTATATTATGTTCCTGTAGATAGATCTATCAATACAACCTTCAACTATTCTATAGGTTATAGCCTGAATGACACATTTTTCTTTTTAGAATGTTGTATCAACATATTTTTAACATGAATAGTTTATCTTTTTTGAAAAGACTCTTACTCTTTATTAGAGATATTTCATTTTTTCTGAATCTGTCAGTCAGTGAATTTATATACTTTATATTTTTAAGAAAGCATGTTCTTCATTGTGAAGAATATCACTTTTTTTTTTACACATCTAGAAGAAGCAGAGTTATCTTGATATGAGTGATACATCTGTTACTTCAGAGTTCAGCTCAAGACTCAGAATCACACACTTCACTAGACAACTCATTGATAGAATAATCACTTATTATAAGAAAGCTTCTGACTTGCAAGATGAGACTGAGGTCAGTTTTCATCAGAGTATGAAATTTGATGATAATGAGACAATAGAGAAACTTCAGAATAAAGAAAAGCAGAGTTAACATTCATCTGTGAAATCTGTTCATTCTAGACTGACTGTGTGACCGTGTCTGAGACCAGAACTAGATTTTTTGATAGTCTCATTATCAATTTGACTGATCTCATTACATGGTTTTAACATTAGATAGTAGTTTCATACTGTCTCAGTAAAACTTACTGTCTACTCTTATCACATTTTTCAAATAAGATTATGATTTTCACTTCTCAATTTAAATTATTTTTATTGCTTTAAATGACTTTAAATCTCATTTGAGTATTATCAAAAAGTGTTACTTTTTAAAAAATTAAAAATAGTCTAAAAAAAACCTTAAAATGTCTAAAAATAGTAACTTTATGCTAAGAATGAGACTAAATGAGATCAAATGAAATCACTTTCTCATTTTTTTCAAGTCATGGTTTCATTTTAAAATCTGATATATAGTCACTTTATCTGTTTTTTTGATAGTCAGTCCCAGCAGAATTCACGCCAAGAAATGTATGAGATCAGATCAAATGAGATCAAATGTGAAATTCATAGTTTCAGTGATCAGTCTAGTTCATTTCAACTCATCAAATTCTCTACCATCTCTCACTCTCAGAATGCTGACTTTTAATGATGATTCGAATCAACCTATCTATTGCACCGCAGGCAATCTTATGAATCTTATGCAGATAATGCTATGAAATCAGATAACTGTGGCTGAAACCACTCAACATCTCACTACATCTGCACAAAGAGACACTACAAGAAATGAGTTACAGAAATATCAGAAGAAAGTCAAATATGCACTAGATATTAAATCAGTGATCACATTTGATGACTCTAATTATAAAGCCTGATGTGTTGATATGTTGACTGATGTAGAAGTTATTGATGAAATCAACATTCTATTAAGAACTCAATGAGAATCTTCTTTTACATATCATATCAACTCTGAGAAGTGAAGAATCTGTTTCAAGTCTCTATATAGATGTATACTATCAAGTCTTGTTAAAAACATTTGAATCACTATTGAAACCTTGGAAGCTGACAATGCTGTGGCCCTGTGAGACAAGATCAATGTGGAATATATAATATCACTGACAGAAGAATGAGTTAATATCTTCAAGAAATTGACAAAATTACAAGTCAAGAAGAATGATTATCTTACTTTTCAGAGACATTTCTGCTATCTTGTTATCTGTTATAAAAAGCTCTGTCAGAGTACTGAGAATGTATATCATAATCTTTTCTTCAACAATCTGCAGAATTATCAAAGACTGTTTATCAAGACATGTTTGAATGAGTTTTTCTTCACTAGGCAGAGACTCATTGTCAACATTAATATTGATGATTTGATAAAGCAACTGATCAATTGTACATTCAAGAAGATCATCACTGAGCAGAAAAAGCAGTCTCAGGCTGATTCTGTGACTGTGAAAAAGAATAAGAACAAAGATAAGAACAAAGATAAGAATAAAGATGAGGATAAAAGCACATCTGTATGAAAGTGCACTCACTGCAGAAGATATAATCATACTATTGACAGATGTTTCATCTTACACCCTAATAAAAAGAAAAAGAAGAATGATAAGAAGAAAGAGAAGAAGAATGACTTGATAAGTTCTCAATCAGCAGTAAATACAGTAATTACAAAGATTGAGTTCTATTTCTCTTTCACAGTCACTGAAAAATCATTCTCTAGATCTTGATATTTGAACACATGTATAAGTCTGAATATGATGAGTGAGCTTCATTCTTTTTTAAATATCAAATCTTTTAATGATAACATCTC